ATTTCAATAGCTGCCTTCGATGGAAAGAAACTAACATGACAGTGAGTGATCGCTAGCCTATAGTGAAATTTAAGGGGCATGGACTGTTGGCAATGTTTGTGTCAATTGAATATGTGGGCAGGTTTTTTCCCAATATGGGAATGTTGCCTGCGATAGGCCAATGCCGGGGGGCCTGAGGAACTGACATGTTTTTGATGAGAGAGAAATGCAGATTTTTCTTTGAATATAAAATTAATGAAAACACTAGTGTCAGAATAAACAAGAAAGGAGGGAAGGGTATAAGAGTGTTGACTGCTCATGCCACAAAGATGATTGAACTGAATTTGAGATTTTAACCAAGTTATGTCATAACTCAGCATTCATTTTCAAAGGATCAAACAGGATAAGGCATTTCTGCTAGGGAAATAATAAGACAAATGATTTCTTAGAGATCCCAAAATATAATATACTATATATTATTGATAGTCATATATAATATATAAGTTGACTCTCCATAACAAAGCTAGTTGATGTCATTTTCTGTGATTTTGTTTATAGATATATACTATTATAATATATTATTATATATATATATTAAATCTTTACATTGACTTATCATATTAGTTCAATGATTAATATTACATTTTACCAAATTAACATCTGTTCAGCAGGATATGTGAGAGAAATAAGAATAATGTAACCTTAATTACATATATATTACTTCTCAATTTTTAAAATTTAGATTGTTATACAATGTGCTATTTGAAGATACTGCAGCCCTACTTTATATTGAGAATAATATTATTTATTTTTTAGTATTAGTGATTTGTCAAACTCTAATTTATATTACTACAAACCCCAAAATAGAATCGGTGATACTTATAAATCCATAAATGATTAAGGCTTGATAGCGTGAACTGATCAAGATAGTAAGCTAAAGAGTTAAATTTTGTATGTAACGAGTTTCGTTTTTTTTTTTTTTTTTTTCTTTCCCTTTTTGGCAATATATTTTCGCGATAGCTCTATGTATTTATATTTCTAACTGTTTCATATGCCATAGTAAAATTAAGTTCCTTAATTTCTCTCTCTTACTAACTCTTTTTTATCCATAAAAAATTATTATAAGTGAAGAATCCTGCTTGAAAATATTGTTTGTTTTCAGGAGCATGCAACTGTGTATTAAATATATTATAAATATAAATATTAAGTTATATTAATGAAGTATTCTATTTTTCTTGTAACTATTTTCCATGTGATTCTTGGAGTAGACGAGATATTCCCATATTATCTATTAGTTTCTTTAGAATCCAGTTAAGAAATTATATTTAGAATTATTGACATATAAAAAGCAATTTTTGATTTTTTTTTATTTTTCTTGTAATTAATAATTAGAATTCATTTTAAACTTAGACAAATAGAGACTTATAATGGATTACTTCTTTTTATAGTCTTATTATAAAATTAAGTCAGAAAAAACTAATATTTTTTTACATTGAATCTGCCAGCAGATTCTATTACTGGCAAATGCTAGAATCTAGACACAAACAAAAATATATATATTTTTTTCAATTAATTTATTATTTTTTTAGCTCCAATTACTTCTATCTACAGTTTCACCTCTCCCCCATACCAGTTGTGTTTGACAATTATTTTAGTAATTAATTTGTTTCTAAAAAAAATTATCTTCAACTTTCCAGTTGATGAAAAGAATTTGGAACAAAAATGGCATTGTTTCCTTCCGATTCTTTTATAACGAGACCTTTCACAGGATGTCAACACTATTGACCATGACTTGCTTAAAGATTCAAGATATTGATGGATTTTTCAGGAAGCAAACGATCAGCTACAAGAATTGGCCACTTCTGATTTTTGGACTGGATTTTGTCATGTCCTTTAGATTCATCCGCAAATTCATAAACACCTCCCTTTGTTGCATCCTCCAGGTGAAGCCGATGGTAAACTTCCGGACCAACCTCTCCTCCTCACCTTCATTCTCGTATAATGAACAAAAAAAAAAAAAGGAAACAAGAGAGAATAAAACCGTGAAAATAAGAGAAGATCGAAATAGAGCTGGGTTGTGCTCAAGATTAAATAGGGTGTATATATAATATAATAGTAGAAGTTAATTTAGGAAGAAGCATTGATATAAAAAAACTATTGGCTTGTTCATTTGAAACAAGAGGAAAAAGAGCTCGTCGGACATTAACGCTAGAGTGTTTTTTCGCAACCAAACAAACATATTATGAATTTAAATCAGGTTGCTTTGAAACATAAATTTACCTTGGAATGTGTAACTTTAATCTTGCTTGGCACTCTTAAATTTTTACATGATGACGCTATACATGCAAATTTAAACTTATATATTTTCGATCAATATTAGACACCTTTTGGACATAATATCGAATAATATTTAAAAATTTTTTGACCTTATCTATAAAAATTCATCGACACTGCGATACATGTAGGTTAGCATTGACTTTTGGAATAATATTTTCCATAATAGATCTAATTTGTAGTTGAAGTCAGTTCCAATAAAATTAATTTTGAAAATTGAAGTGTTTAATAGGTGTGGATTTTATAAGTTGAAGTGGTTTTGACGGGGATTCAAAAGTAAAAATTAAAGTGTCACAAATTAAAGTAAGAAAGTTCAGACAGTAAAATTTATGCTATTCTACATATCTTAACTCAAAGGTTCCATTTTATAAAATTTAGGTTGGTATACAGGATTTATTAGCTTCAAGTGGTCCAACCCCCGTAAGTGAAAATTGTCCAAAAGAAATTCTTAACTTTAAATCTTACTCAACACTCTGGCAAAAGGGGAATAAGCTTCGTATCAACAACTTTGGAGAAAACCTAACAAAACTAAAAATAGTTGAAAAGTGTGTGCAACTAGTACTTCAGAGAATTATGGAATGACAAAGAACCTCTAGCCATTTTTACAAATATAGTGCGAATAACATACAATTAAAGCAACTAGTTACTTTAAGTTTTCTCATGTCCAAACTGGGCATTTCTGATTATCCATGGCCCAGCTGGCGCGGCTGTAACAGAGGTGTGTGAAAGATATAGAGGTTGAGGATGGCTGATGTTGGAAGAAGAAGAAAGCCGTTGATTAGTAACGGCTAAGTATTAGCCAAACGTTCACCGTTTCATTATATAAAGAAAGAAAGAAATTTAAAAGAAGAAAAAACAGGTTGTCGCACAGCTAATAACGCAGTGTTCAAAACACATTGCAGTACACCTATTTGCTCCTCGCTAGATAACAAAAAACAGTTGAGGAGTTTGCAAATGCTGTTTCATAGAATGTAGAGAGAGAAAGATGATTGTAAACAGTTTTTAAGAGCTAAAATTTTATTCGTATGTTTGTCATTGGAGTCCGTAAAGGAGTATAAATAATAGTATAGAGCATCTTGTGCTATGTTAAGTTTTTGAGAGTGAATTCTTCTCTATTCAGTATGTTAATCTTGCTCTGTTTTACTTTCTTCTCTTTGTAACTGTCGTTTCTTCATCACTTTTAGTTGAATAAAAATGTATATTCAGTCAAGTTTCTTCAATGTTTAGTCATATTTCACAAAATTTTTATTTTGTATTTTATACATTGTCATAAAAATCAATGTAGGACATTATATATATTTAATTTCTTCAAAGTATTCATTAAACATATGCAATTGATTTATTGTATTTATAAAATCAACTGCAGAGATAAGTGATTGCGAGTGACCACAATACATTGCAATTCTTAAATTTTCTAAACAAAAATTTTATTTACTTAATGGAAAAACTCCTATAATGGAAAAGACTTCCAATAAAAAACCTTTTGGTCGTATTTATTTCCTTAATTACATATAAGAAAAACATAAGTTGATTTTCCTGATTTGTGTACTGGTAAATTTCTTGATCTGTGGCGACCATAAGAATAGACAGAGTTCGTAACAAACTTATAATTTTGGTGTGGGAACAAGAAGCAAAGGTTTCTCTTTTCTGCCTAAAGTATTGCCATTACTTATCATTCATGTCTTAGCATCGCCGGGTCCTCGCCGCGGAAGGAGACCAGTCAAAATAATGAATTAAAGAGGCTAATATCAAAGGCAGGAAATCTGTGAATAGCCTATGGGTAGTTCTGGACACATTCTTCTTCCTGAACTAAAATTAGAAGCTCAAAATCATGACCTTCATTTCAAGTCTAAAACTTGATTTCCAAAAAACCTTTCAGGTTTAAAATAATAATGGATCTTCCCAAGCTAAAGATCACGTTCAACAGCCCAAAATATTGACTGATTATTTTGAGATCTTTTGGATTTGGTTAAATTTCATAACTTCACAAGTCTCAAGAGGTTATGACCTAGAAATGGGAGCAGTAGGATGCAATTCTAAATGGTTTCCTTGTATAACATGCACTTATTAAATATGGGAAACTGTGAACTGAGACTCATTTATTGAATGCTTGTTTGATTTCTCTTTCAAGCTCTTGGCAAACTGTTGTTTCATGGCTTTCCTTTGTTATCTTCAGAGAGTTTCAGCGCATCGCCCATTCAAGCCGTTGTTGTAGGTACGTATCTGTACCTGCACTAAAACAATTCCGTGCAAGACATAAAAATATTTATTAATTACGATGAGAGTTCTTTTTTAATTTAGCGAGTGTAATTCATTCAAAGAAGTTAAAAAAAAGGAATTGGGATTCGCATGCTTACATTGAATAAGCAATTAATTTGTTCATTCATAAATCATTTGAAATAAAAAACATCCAAGAAATCTTCCTTAACACACCATTACGTGCATGCCTTTCTCTTCTTTCCATTAATGAAATATTTCCCATATGTCAAGACATTTCTTTAAGGCATTGTTAGGACATTTTCTTTCTCAAACCTTTGGAGATCTAACCCTTGAAAATATTGGGATAAAAAATCTTGCTAAATTTGGAGCAGAGCCGTAACTCCATTCAACTTCCACACAAGCCTTTCAACCACTAACGGATTCTTCAAATCTTTCCGAAACTAATAAAAATCCTTAGAAAATAAATCCTTAGAAAATAAAAGATTAGAAATTGAGTTAAAAACAGTAGCAAACACAACTTCTCCAACATTCACTACTTGTCCTTGTTTAATACCCAAAAACTCTATCATCTCTGATACTTTCTGTTCTCTTAAAGCAGCCTTTGATTCAATTGCTTTAGCAGAGAAAAGCTCAGTCCTGGATAAAGCTCTTAATGACTTCCATTGATCACTGCATGAAGGATTCCAAACTAGCGCTATACGATCAAGTTCATGACTTGGTCGAGGAATCGCTTTTGGAACAAATCTACCAGAAAGAAAACGATCTTTCTTTCTGAGAATTTCAGCAGCTACGGCCGGCGAAGAACCAACAACGACAAGTTGATAGCCAAGCCTTAGTGAAAATATTGGGCCATGTAGTTTGGCAAGTTTTGCCATTGAAATATGTGGCTTTTCTCGAACATGAGGAATGTTGCCTATGATAGGCCATGGCCTAGGACCTGGTGGAAAACGATGTCGTTTTAAAGAGATAAGTATATGTTTTAGGAAAATAAAGCTAATAACAGGTAGAAAAACAAAAAAGAAAGTTGATGATAATAGATTAATGAATACTCTTGTAGAAATGATTTGTTCCATCTCTAAGTAACTAACTAATACATTGCTCTTTCAATTTATTAGCAATGTATGTCCTCGTTTTTCTCGGTGTACACTCTCGTTGCAAGAAAAATTTATATTTTCATATCTAAGTAATTCAACTTAAAAAATTGAATTTTAAAATTGATCCAACAATGAAAATTTTGTCGTAGATCCAGCAGCAATGCATTATGCATGGAACTTTGTAATTGTTTTTCCTTTATTTAAAAGATTCTACAGCCCTATGCTTTATATTGAAACCTTATTTCACATAGTCGCCTTGTTGCATATTAATTATTTATTTTTAGATCATTTCACATAGTCGCCTTGTTGCATATTAATTATTTATTTTTAGATCAATTTTCTTTTTATTTATTTATTCGATGGATCAATGGGTCAAAATAATATGACTGATTGTACAACAAGAGTAGTTCTTACTTAGCTTATAAAATTGATAAAAACTCTTATAGTCTAAAAAACTCGAACTCAAAACTTTTTACTTTGAGAAAACCAACCAAACCACACCTAACTATTATTTATATTACTATAAAGCAAACGAGGTAATCCTAATCTAATACTTACAAAGGTTACCCGCTATAATAAACAGTTTTAGCCATGAGTATCTTATCCATTTATTAGTAAGAAATGCATTTTAAATAAATTAGAGTTTGGATAATTTAAAATCTGCGGATAACTTATCCATTTAAGGGTATATAAACATATTTAAGATGGATACGAATAATAAAATTTTAAACGAGTTTGGATACGAGTATTTAAATAGATATTTATAGATATTTAAACAGGTTTAGGATGTATACGGTTACGGGTAGTTCAAAATTCGTGAATACTCGCCCCACTTTCATCTCTAATTAGGAGATGTTCAACAATAGCATTTAGTGTTTTGAACTAGTCAAAACACTATTTCTCTAAATTATTATATTCGGTAACTTGATATATAGAATAGCTTTCAGATGTCTATAGAGTATTTTCTAAAATGTTATCTCACCTAACGTTTCGCTTCAGTCTTCTTACTGAATTTTTTCTACAACCTTATCCTTATCCTTAATTAATATAAAAATCCTATGTTATCACATTAGGTGTTTTATTATCTTTATGTTTGGCTTATTTATATTACATTATTTATATATTTGTATTTAAACTCTAAACTACAAATGATTAAAAAATTAAAAATTTTGACTTCCCAAAAATATTAAAATCTTCCATTTTATTTATAAAATAATGAACTTTTAATTTTTTGCCTCCCTAAATTTGGAAAATTTGGTTGAACTTTTCAATTTTTGCTCCCTTAAATTTGGAAAATTTAGGTATTGTGAAATCATGTTTTTATAATTTATTTAATTGAAAATTCTGGGTGAATATTTAAATATCTTTTTTGTCATTTTAAATTTATTACTAATTAAACAGTTATTTTTATCGAAACTTTCGCTTTCAATCATTATTTAAATAGCTAATAGCTAGCCGCTAACATCTATTAACTAACTGCTATTAAAACAGTTAATATTATCAAATATTGTCTTAATTTAATCCTTTAATATTGCTCAGCGTCTTACACGAGTTCTAATCCTAGTTTTTGTTATAATGTCGCACGGCGGCAAAAAGTCAAATAGGTTAAGGCTTTGGAAGCGTGAATGTCCAGAAATGAAATTTTGTTTTTATTTATTTTTTTAAGTGAAACTTTATTTTTATTATTTTTACAATAAATTTAATCGCTCATGTTGATGCTATCCATAACTTTGTCCTTCTATTTTTAAAATAAATAATCGTCTCTGAGATTTAATTACCTAGAGTAAATGATTTTTCTGTTAAGTTTTTAAACTATACATTGTTAGTTGGACTTAATTACCACAAAAATAATATTTTTTTTTAGAACAAATTACTAAAATAATTTTCAAAAACAACTTGGTATGGGAAAGTGAAACTGTAGATGGAAGTAATTGACTAAAACAATAATAAATTAATTGGAAAAAATAATAATTTTTTGGGTTTCAATCTGCGATAATTTAATATGTTTATTCTAATTATCAATTACAAGAAAAAAAAAATCAAAATTGCTTTTATATTTCAATAAAATTCTAAAATTTCCTAAACTTGTCTTCTCAAAAATTTGAAATCCCTCCAACAAAAAATCAGAATGATCTTATTATTCTCTGTTTTATTATTTTTATAATGTTTCATGTCTGAGACAACATATATTATGCTTAGGACATGTCCATAGTCCAGAACCGTTGCTTTCGGTTTCAAAGTCGCTAGTTCCAATTATAAGAAAAGTGAAATTAAAACCAAACTATTTTAGGCAATTTCTAAGACAGTTTTGAAACTATAGATTCTAGTTTTGTTCCAGGTTGGAACCTAAATTAGATAATTCATTCAAGCTTTTTTAAATTCTTTTTTTGATTTGTAACTTAAATAAATAATAATAATAAATATTACTATTGAAAAACACTAAACTAATTTAATACAAATTCTTAAATACATTTTAAAAAATTATAATAAAAAAATAAGTTAGGATTTCAAAAAAACGTGTTTTTCACCGTTTCAAACTGAAAACACTAGTTTTTAAACTAAAATTGTCGGTTCCAATCTCAAAAAATAAAGAATTGGAACTGAACCTTAAATTCACGGTTTCGGTAATAGTCTGAGACCAAGAATCGTTGGTCACAGTTTAGCATCGATTTTGACCAGTTCAGTTTCGATTCGATTTCAATTTGAAATCGAACTGTCATTCCTAATCACGCTCGTAACATTTGTATTAGATATAAAAGGATTGGAGAAATAGGGGTTAATTTCATTAGAAGGACTTGAATTATATACCCAATCATATAATGGATACCAACTTCAATTTCTATCTTAAAAATACCTAAATTCTCACACTTGTAACAATAAAATACATTTTTCCGCAATTGATAATTTTCAGTTGCTGGATTGCCACGTATTTAACAAGTGGTTTTTTATTTTTAATGAAAAATCCATTCCAATTTTCTCTCTCTTCCACTCAACCCTCTTTTTGTTTGAGGGTAGAAAGTAAAATTCAAGATTCATATGTTCACTAAGATATGATGAATTTGATTCAGAATAGCATACAACTGATCATGTTTGTATTAAAATGATTGGTGCAAACTTATGTTTTAAATGAGATCATGTATTTACTATGATCTTCTACGATAGTGATAATGTAAACTGCACCAATAATGAAAGTAATAGAGTAAGATCCCCAGAGGTCCACATTAACAAGTTTAAATGAATTTGTTGTTGTATTATAATTTGTCGGAAATAGATTTCTCTGTTTTTTAGATAGAGAACAAATAGGACAAACAATAGTCTTTATATCTAATAGACCAAACAATAGTTTTTATATCTAATAGACTAAGCCTCAGGCTTATTTCTATAAAAATAACTTGCATGAAAATATTTTTCGTTATTTGGGCCGGCTCCGCTAATGTTAGGTAGGTAGGAAAATTTATTACATGTACTTGTGTAGTGACTCAAGCAGCTTGATACTTCAAGAGATTTGCGGTTCTTGCTCCTTCTTGTCTTCAGAAAAGATAAACCACTTTTTTTCCAAACAAAATAATAATGACAATGACATGAACTTAGCTGTGGATGGATCTGACCAAAGATTTTCCAATCTTTGTTCTTTTTCAAGCATAAACTCTATTTGATCCTTGGAAATGAAAGCTCTCTCATCAAAACACTCTCTGCAAATACAGTTCAAGTCTCTTTGCGGCATGGCTCAAACACTTTCTGCAAGTCTCTTATACCTTCCGTTTCTTGTTTTTCTTCCTATCATTTTCATTATCCTCAAGCAATTCTACTTTTCACCATCAAAACAATGTCGCCTTCCTCCAGGCCCCAGGCCATGGCCTATCTTAGGCAACATTCCTCATGTTGGGAAAAAACTACACATTTCATTGACAAACATTGCCAAAGTCCATGGCCCTTTAATTTCACTTAGGCTGGGCACTCTACTTGTCATTGTTGGCTCTTCAACAAACGCAGCTATTGAAATTCTGAAAAATAATGATCGTTTGCTTTCTGGTAGATCTATCACAAAAGCAATTCCTTGTAAAAGCCATGTTCTTGAACTCACAGCTCTTGTTTTCAACCCCACATGCAATGGTCAGTGGAAGTTCTTCAGAGCCCTGTGTAGGACAGAACTTTTCTCCGTCAAAGCAGTTGACGCACAAGCTGCTTTGAAGGAAAAGAAAATGACAGAAATGATAGAATATTTAAGTAGCAAAGAGGGAGAAGTAGTTAATATTGGAGAAATTGTGTTTGCTACGGTTTTTAATACAATTTCTAATCTTCTATTTTCTAAGGATTTTATTAGTTTGGAAAATCAAAGGTTGAAAATTTTGCTGTCAAGAATGATGGAGTTGGGCGCTACTCCTAACATGGAAGATTTTTATCCTATATTTGGAGAGTTGGATCCTCAAGGTGTTAGAAGAGAAATGGCATAGTGTCTTAAAGAAATGTTCGGCATATGGGAAATTTATATAAAGGAAAGAAGAGAGAGAAATGAAAATGCACATAATGCTTCAAATACAGATTTCTTAGATGTTTTTCTTTCAAATGGATTGGATGATGATCAAATCAATTGGCTGTTTATGGTACGTGCACTATTCCTTTACCAAAAGTTTTTATCAAAAATTTTTTGTTCTTTCACACATTTTTTTAAGGAGATCCATTAGGCTTGCTTGACAACCGCTCTGATTGGACCGGAATCTAACCGGAAAACTTTAGTGAGGGAAATCATATATATTATTTTGTGTTGCAGGAATTATTTAGTGCTGGTTCAGACACTACGACCGCATCAGTTGAGTGGGCAATGGCCGAGCTTCTCAAGAACAAACAAGCCATGAAAACACTTGAGCAAGAGCTAGAAACAGAAATTAATAAAAACCCAATTCAAGAATCCCAGGTTTCTCAACTTCCATATTTAAATGCATGTTTGAAGGAAACCTTGAGATTGCACCCTCCTGTTCCATTTCTTATCCATCACTCTACTGAGGCCGGTGAAATTATGGATTTTGTGGTGCCAAAAAATACTCGAGTATTAGTAAATATTTGGGCAATTACACATGATCCCTTTATTTGGGAAGATTTAGAACTTTTTAAACCTGAAAGGTTTCTTGACTCTGGTTTAGACTTTAAAAGCCAAAACTTTGATTTCTTACCTTTTGGTTCAGGAAGGAGGATGTGCCCAGGACTGCCTATGGCTACAAGGCAACTTCCATTGATTTTAGCCTCTTTAATATATTGTTTTGATTGGTCTCTTCCAAATGATGAAGAACCTGCTCTGCTAGACATGAATGATAAGTTTGCCACAGCTTTACAGAAGGAGCAACCTTTGCTCATTGTTCCTAAGAGAAAACTATAAATTACAGATTCCATGTCCATGGCTACGTTCCATTTTAGTAGTTGTAATAACAACTTCTATCTTTAGTTAAATTGGATTATGATTTTAATAATAATATATATGAGTTGCCACTGCTGTAGTATTAAATTTAGTATATCAAAACTACAGTAGCATATATTATTTAACTGTTTCATAAATTAATTTATTATTGCAGAATATATATATATATATATATATATATTCTTTCTTTTTAATTTATACAAGTTCATTATGTTCGAGGCTGGAGATTGATGATAAAATTCACTGTGGTTGATTCCTTTGCTTCTGTTTGCAGGGAAAAAAAAAATTTCATTCCAAATTATATATTTTAAAAAATATCTGTGAAGTCTCTAAACAATATTCAAAAAGTGAGATTTTATCTGCCAATTTAAGAATTTTAATTAGGGTTGGAAATATTTTTGAGCCTTTCTTTGGAAATTGACGGCCAAAATTTGACTTTTTGGACGGAAATCTTAATTTGAGACGGAAGCAGAATTAATAACTATGCAATTATTTCTTAAAAGTAGAATAACCTATGTATTAATTTTGCTATAATTTACGGGCCAAAAAATTAAATGAACTTTTATAATAAAACTTTTAATTTATGGGCCAAATTAAAATTTTATTTTTATTAATTGTACCCGCTCGGTGACATAACTTTTAGAAGTTAACTTTTAGAAGTTAAATGAATTTTTTTTTAATATTTAGCTTTTAATTAAATTTTGATAATAATACTCATTATTTTTTTCCTTTCAATTCAACTAATTAAACAATCGATTTCCTTTTTTTATCAGTTTAAGTTAAAAAACTATTTTTATAACATTTTTAATTTAAATCACTATATAAATATTACCCGCTAAAAGCTAATAACTAATAGTTACTACAACATTTAACAGCTACTAAAATAGCTAATACTGTGAAACATACCCTAAATGAATTAAAGAGCTAAGGCGGCAGAGTTTAAAATAAAAAGTAAAAACCATAAAATCCTAATTGACTTAATAAAAATTGATATATATAGATATAGATATATAAATAATAAGTATACTTTTTTTTATTGGAAGGAGATAGCGTTGATTTTTATAGTGTTTTTATTGTAATTTTTACTAAGATTTTTAGTAACTAAGATTTTTAGTACTTTTAATTTATATAAATTAGTTTCTGTATAATATTTGTATGTTTTTAATTAAAAGCTTCCTTGAAATACAACTCACTTGATTGGGAAGAAAAATTGTAGGATTTTGCAAAGAAAAGAACAAAAACAAGGCAAAACACAATTGGCATGCCTCAGCCCGTGCTAAGTAACACAGCCGTGCACGCACTGGATGTCGCCCGTGCAACTTAAGCACGCCCGTGCCGCACTAGTTCTAGACTTCCAGAGAGATGCACGCCTCAGCACGTGCCATACCGCACGACCATGCGCGCTAGCTTGCCAGACCATGCTACGGAACACGGCCCATGCCGAAGCCTCTAAACCTCCAGAGCCTGGCACGCCCAAGACCGTGCCAGGCAGCATGCTACAGTGCACGCCCGTGCCAAGCAAAGAATCCTAAACTTAGTCAAAAGTTGCCAACCAACTTTCACTAATTTATGGAGCTAATCTTGGACAACTTTTCTCACATGCAAACCAAGAATCAATTCTATGCACATGGGTGAGTAATAATTGAAGAAAATGGAGACCAAAAAGAGAGCTTTACAACCTAACAAAAGAAGACTTTGATAATGAGACCATGTGGAATCCTCTCTCAAAGAAGTCTATAGAAAAGAAGAGTAGAGAGATAAAAAAAAAAAAGATCCCACGCACATATCCATCTCACACACTACACTCCACTCTTTCTTTCTCTCATTTTATAGTCTTGTACATAGTTTTATTTTCTTTAGAAGTTAAGTATTCAAGAGTTGTTTGTGCAAGAATTTCAAGGAAGCCATCCAGCAATTCCTCACTAGTTTTTATTCTCTAAACTTTTTAAATCTTGTTTTTACTTTTCATTATTCACATTGATTATGGAATTATTTTCAAGTTTAATTGAGTTTTATTTAATTACTATGTCGAACTAAATTCTCATAGTAGGGATTTGATGTAGGTTAATTTCTTTTCCAATTTATAATATTAGATTTCTTTTTCTTTGTTCAAAGTATAATTCATTATTGAACTTAATGCTTCTAGGTAGAGTTTTTTCCCTAGATTGATTTATTTCATTAAACACTGTCGGGAGAAGGGTTTTTGATATGAAAAAGGTAATAAATTACATGAGAATAATAACTTGATGCAGAAGCTATATGGTTTGACTCATGGACTCAATGGGGGTTTTCATAACGTTTAATGAACCTTTAGGTTATGGAATTCACCAAAACAAACATAAAACTTAATGATTTTAATTCCATGTTTGATTGCGCTATTGGAAGATAGGTATTAGACCGGGTTAAAATGCTAACAATACAATCGGGAGAGCTTGTTAGTTGATTTTTGGGTTGTTTCCCTACTTGAAATAATTAAATTGGATCCATGAACTAATGAAATAAATTTGGATAGTTAAGTGAAATCATCATATACATATATACATATAGAGGATATTAATATTTATTATTTTGTTTACCTTTGACTCTTGTTTTTTTACATTAATAATAATTCTCATCTAATTATCGTCTATATAATAACGAAGATACATAATTTGATACTTGATTACAATCCTCTGTGGGTGAATAGAGATATACTATTACCATGCATATGTAATAGTTAATAGCTATGAATGATTTTCTAATGACAATTAATTTCTTTGTATTTATTGGGAAATTGCATTAAAATAATGTTATTAGCCATATGACATATTGTGATTAGTACATTTTGTATGTATTTAAAATTGGACTAAGTAGAAGAATGGATGTTTAGTTACTGACTGTTAAACATCTTCTCTAAGATTCTCTAGGACATTAGAAATAATGTTTATCGTTCTTAATCTTGATTTATTTTAATATGAGCAAACATTGATTGTCTTGTGCTTTGATTCATTAAAGGGTGAGTTTCATTATTGGAATAATGTTCTCGGTGAATTGGGCAAAGATATATTGTGTTTGTGAAATATTAATTAATGATAGAATCCATGTCTCGGTTTAGAGATTGATGATGCACTTTAAGTAAGTTTATAAGGTTTCATAGTGTAAATCCTATAGGTGGATATTGAATACACATGAAATAAGTTGAGCGACAATCTTAAAGTTATATTGTGATTTAAATAAATTGTCAGTAAGTTATTTAAATGACAGCATCCATCTTGAATCTTAACCGTGGGGACATTAATTTATTATGTTGTGGATTGTACATAAATAAGGAGTTCAGTCATGCAGTTTTTAGTGGAATAATTCATGATTAATTATAATAAGAATATGTTGGTCTACATAGGTTATTATTATAATTAGTAGCCTGATTTATTTTATTCCTGAGGTCCCTGTAGTGCCCTAATTATTTGGAAAGTTAAGGGTGTATTAAATAATAGATAAATTATTCAGTTTTAAAATAATTGATAATTATTTTAATTAAATAATTTTTTATTTAATTTATTTTATATTAAAAAAAAATATCTTTCTATCGAAGAGAGTTTTTTTTAATATAAGATTTGAAAACCCTAAGAATAGAGAGACGCACGTTATTCTATTCTCTGCCACTCAGAGAGATAGTTAGGGATTGGGATTACTGCGAAGATCGTGGTGACTCCAAGATCTCTGGAAAGAAGACCGTGAGCGATTCTGCGCTTCAAGAGTCAGTTTTAATTTGTTTCGATAATATTTTAGTTTTGCCTCATATGGTTTCGTTAAGGGTTGTTTCCAGCTTATACCGCCGGCTCATCAATTGGTTCAAGAGCCATACGAACTGTTATGAGGTGGCTATTTTGTCATGTTTTCCAATCGTGTATCTATAATCTGTTTTGATTGTTTGAATTGGGTTACATGGTTAAGAGAGCTAAGAGTTTTGAAGGACAGTAAGCAAAGTGCTGTAACTGATACAAATCTTTTTTTTGAAACTGTTGGTTTTTAATGGCATTAAATATATATATATATTAATATTTTGGGTTTTGTTTCGATGAAGAGGAGAGGGGCAAGAAAAGACGGAAAAAAAAAAAAAGGAAAAGATCAGTAAATGGAGGTTGAAGGGAAAAGGGGTAGCGGCGGCTAGGCGTTAATGGAGGTTGAAGGGAAAAGGGGCAGCGGCGGCTAGGGCTTCTTCGTGAAGAAGAAGCTGCTGCTTGCCAAAATTCCCGTCTGGTCCCTCAATTAAATTAAATTTTATATTTTTGACCCCTGATCTTTAAGTTTTTATTTTTTTGCTGAATCTTTCAGTTTATTATATTTTAACCCCTCGACTTTAATTTTTTAAATTTTGACCCAGAAAGTATCAGTTATTCCGTTTTGGCCTCCTGGAGTTATTTAAATCATAAAGTGACCCTGATTATTTCTAGTTTTATTAAAATTGCCTAGACTATTTTCGATTTTTGCAATTTTGGCCCAATAGTTTCTGTTTTATGCAAAATAGTCCAAACAAGTTCTGAAAAAACTTGCGAAAATGGCCCCGAATTTTTCTCGTTTTTGCAAGATAATAAAACCCAGAATGTTTTAATTTTTTTTTTGGCATAAATAGGACCAAAACACTAAATTTTTAACATTTTCCAACCAAAAATTGTTAATTTTATTTGCAAAAATTGTTTCTTAAAAAATATATTATTTTGCAATTTTGATTATAATTTAATTTATTTTAATTAGTATGAATTAATTTTGAGTGGTTTTTATTACTTTCTAGTTGTAATTATTTGCATTTTTCCCTATCGAAAAGAATGTCATGTTTAATTATAATTACTGAACTAGTTCTAATTTGTCTGTATTTGATTTAAACCTACCATTGGAGTAAATTAAATTAGTGGACCATGAATCAGATGTAATATTTTCTCACCACAATTTAATGTTATTTAAGAGGCATGTTTATCTCCCATCGAGGTAGTAATACTGTGCCGGTCTTATCTAATATTATTAATATGCAAAACATCGTGATGGTTGAATTCTCCCATCGAGGTGCTATTCATGAATGTTTGTGAATGTGTATTTTTTTTTCTTTTGA